AAATGCCAGATTAGGGATTCCTGATGCAGGAATCCCTAATTTCTCCTAAAGATACAGGTGTGAATGCAGCCTAAAGCCCCGTTCCCACTGCGCGATATGCAAATCGCGCGTTTGTCGCGCGATTTGCATATTTGCGCGACATCGCGAGATTTGCCGCGCGATGTCGCGTTCAAGCTTGCATTGAGCAAGCTTGAATCGCGGCTAAATCCGCTCCAAAAAGGGTCCTGCTGTAGCGACACACGACCCGCGACAGCAGGACCCTTTGCCCCATTGGATTGCATTGGAGCGCGATATCGCGCGGTAATTTGCCGCGATATCGCGGGAATTACCGCGCGATAAATCGCTTAATGTGAACGGGGTCTAATACTTACCTTTCCCATCCAGGCAGTCGGACTCGGCAGGCGGCAGCAGACATGCTCGTCTTCTTCCTCCACGCTTCTGCCCGGCAAACTAAGCTCCGCCCCCTGTAGGCACTAAGCTCAGTGGAAGATACAAAATGCGCAGGGGGGCCCGGGACCAGGCAAATGTAACTGTTAATATAATTCTATATGAAAAAATTATGGCTTGGAGCTACGGGCCCCCCTAGCGGCTGGGGCCCCTGAAAATTGTATCGGCCGTACCCCCCTGATGGCGGCCCTGGTTACTATTGCTGATGAACGATTATTGGTCTGTGCATGATGGGCTAGTTGTGCAGAAACTGAACGTGGGTGCGATGACGGGACAAATAAAATTGAACAATAATTGTAAGGTGTATGGGCACCTTTACCGGAGTTCCGCTTTAAAGATAATAAGGCCTGGGTGGTACATTTTATGTCAATGCAATTAACCAAAATTTTGACACTGGGTGGCCCTGCTGGCTTGACAGTCGATTATTCAATTGACTTTACTTGAAAGAGCCAGGCCGAAAATTGTTGCTCAGACAGTGCCTGCAGTCAATCACATAATCTATATGAGGGACGCCAGCTGTCACAATACAACCAGTGGCATCACAAGGGGGATACAGCCCACATCAAGTGACACCTCACTGACAGTCATTTTGGTGTTACCCCCCTCTGAAAAGTTGGGCACTCGGGTCATAGGCCGAGAGCCCGACAGCTGCACGAGAGAGGAGGGGACTCGGCGGCATACCTTATCCTACCGGATAAACGTCCCCTCCTCTCTTTGCCAGCGTCCATCACCAAGATGGCTTCTGGCAGTGACGTCATTACATACGTGAATAACTACGTCACATGTATACGAGGGCCTGGTGACTCCTCTGCATACAACAACTGGCAGCGTGAGATTGCTCCATCCATGAATGAAAGCTGATCCAGAGCAACAACTAAAACATATTGTTTGAGTTATCTATAGTTATACTGTTTGAATGGGAATACATCACAGACATATAAGACTGGGCATAGATACAGTGGCGTAACAACCGGGACGGGCAGCCAGTCGCAGAGCTGGAGGGGGGCGCCGGCCGCCGGGCTGTGACAAGCGGGGCCCGGCGAATGAAAGATTTCCTGCAGGGTGTGTAATCCCCCGACGCCCGGAACATGCAGTTCCGGGCATAGGACGGTAAGCTACTTTCTACATTTAGTCCTGCTTTGCACAAGCAGGACTAAATGCAGTGTGGGGAAGCGGAATGTTTGCTTACACGTGATCTCGGCGATGTCGCCGAGATCACTTGTAATAAAACTGCAGCCTGTCCGTCCTGGAGGTGACAGGTTCAATAAAGAGAACCTGTCACCTTCAAATGCTATCACACAGGGACTTGGTAGCTCCTGTGTGATAGCGATAGAGTTAAGTGAAAAGAAATTGTTAAAAAAATTATTCAATAAATAAAAAAAATAAGTAAACAATAATAAGAAAAAAAAGATTAAATTAAAACAATAAAAAGGAGATTAAAAAGTAAAAAATGTCATGGTCCACTTGCCATGATAACCAGTTGATTGGCAGCCTCCTTCCCTACAGGGACCCGGGCTCCCCCTGCATTATGCAGTGGCTCCCTCTCTCTGCCACATGCACCCGGCTCTGTCATCGGGCGGCCGCTCGCTCCTCCGAGGCCACTGCGGGCGGCCCTCTACAGAGCCTGATTAGAGGGCGCGTCTGCCTGATCCAGCCAGCCCGGATCGCATACCCGCTGGATACGACCCACCCCGAGACAAAATCCATCAGATCATGGCATCGCATGAGCGCAGAGTAGTGACAAGGGGGCGGAGACACGGAGGCACACGTGTGGAGGGCGGGACTGTGGGCGTGTCCCAGAGACCAGGCGGAGACAGGAGCGGCAAGGCGAAAGTGAAGTGAATCAGCAGCTGAGCAGAGAAACGAAACTGATAGGGGAAGGAGGGGCCGCCGTACGAACACACAGCCTACTCCTTCCTCAGTGACAGCATAGCCCCTTAGCCCTGGCAGGTTGGCGACCAGGTGCCACTAGACGCTCCGGGGCCACGGCGGCGACAGAAAGAAGAGGCCCTTTCTATCCACGACACGTGACCTGCCTGGAGAGCCGGAGCGCCGACGTACGGGTGAGCTGCTGAACGGGGCCCCGTGCCTCAGGGAGCAGGCCTGGACACCAGTGTGTGTGTGTGTGTGTTATGTCCCGGTACACGTGTGTATGTGATGTACACATGCACGGGTTGGTGCTATGGCTTTGCTGTGTATGAAAGGGTTACATTGTTCATGTTTACCGACATGTCCGTGTATTTATCTGCTGGAATGTGCAGATCGGCTGCTCTGATTGTTCGCTATAGGGTTAGAGCATGGGCGAGGTGTGACCTGCATGTAAAGGTGGAATGCCTGCTTCATTTATTATGTGGCAGGCGGATTGATGGATCGATCAAGGTACAGACCCCCATCATTCTGTATGGGAGATGTATATTTTGCTGGCTCATCGTTCACTAGATGCAATCGTTCACTAGACATCAGATGGACAGAGGTTTCCATTGTAGACGACTGGTGTTATCAATATATGGGACCTTAATCGATGAATAATGCTGAAGTGCAGGAACCCATGGAACACAATCAGCGCTTATTCAACTAAAAGTCACCATACATGTTACAATCTGACTGTACAATCAGCTTTTAGATTTGCCAAAATTAAGGCTCACCACACATACACTAAAATCTGGCCATGCAATCAACTTTAGAATGATCTACCAAAACTATGTAATATGAGGACCTACCCTAACCAATCATACTTGTTGTTAGATCTGAACCTGCGCATGGCTTAAATGCATGTTATGTTCGTACACCACGATTCTTTCTGACGGGTCCTATTACGTTCAATGAGGCCTCCACGCGTTACAAATGCAGCAAATAAAGCTCATTTAGGCTAGGTTCAAACCTGGTACATGTACCTTTTTTTGCCCACAGCACGATTGCCTGAAGTGGGCGACTCTGTGATTGCACGGTTTTGTGCATGATTAGGAGTTGCCCACCTCAGGCGATCGCACTGTAGGCACCCTAAAAAGGAAGTGCGTTGTGTGTCGCAAAAATAGTTACATGTGCCTTTTTTTTTTTTTTTTTAGCAACTGTTGCGCGGAGGTTAACGAAGGTTGAAATCAATAGGGCTGTGTGACAACCGCTTTGTGCACTAGCACGCGTCCCGGGTGTCGTGCAGGTGTGAACCTAGCCTCAGATTGTAAGCTCTCTGACAGGGCCCTCCTAACCATCTTGTCTTTACTTGTTTTGTAACTGAAATGTCTTGTATTGTAAAGCGCCTCCCAAACTGTTGCTGCTATATAAATCCTGTATAATATGTAGCAGAATTTGTGACACGTTCTGTTTTATTACTTGTGTGTTTCCTGGCCGTGTTTGGGGTGTCGTTAGAAATTAATGGGTATGCAATCGCATTGCATGTTTTGCCGCATTTCTGTGATCACACTCACAGAAGGCGCAGGTGTGTTTGTGGGCTAAAGGGTATTGTAGCGTGCATAGTGAGTCAGATCCCCGGATGGATTTTAATTGGTTGCTGCATTCAAAGTAGAACATCAGAGACAAGGTTAAATGTACAGTGTGAGCCCATGGTAAAACCCCCAAATATCTCCATAGTTTATGTGGTCCTTTCCTATTTCTGGGTATGTGAACCCTAATAATGAGCTTATTTGCCCCCTTTCGGTCTGTCAAAGTCCAACTCTGGGCAAACTATGAACCCAATCCCAATTCCCCCCTCAACACATCCTGCAAGCTTTACTTGCCTAAAGTTGCCCACACACCTTGCGATAATCGCGGGAAATCCCGCGATCGTACGATTATCGCAAGGTGTTTGGAAGGCGTGCAAACTCTCCTACTGTAAGGTCGCACAACCTTTTATTTTATGAACATGTTCGAAAACCCGCCGAGAATCGTACGATGTTCGGCGGGTGTGTAGCATGTTCGCAAGATAAAAGCCGCACGGGCCGGTGTGCGCAAGCGCACTGCCCGTTTAGCAATCCGGTCATCGGAAACACGCCCCTCAGAGGGGCGGGCTTGTGATCATCGCAAGTACGTTCTGCCTGTCCAAGATGGGCAGATCGTACGTTTTTTTAATTACCTTACAACCATCACAAGACAAAAGCCTTGTGATGGTTTTAAGGTGTGTGCCCAGCTTAAAGCTGTTTGTACAGTACAGAGAAGTGAAAACGCCTGGTAGAGCACTCTAAGCTCTATTGAGGACTGGACTCTTAACTTTTTATATGGCAATTTCCAGAAATCTGAGCTTTTCTTTGGTAATAAAGCTGCCCATATGTATGAGGGAACAGTTGATTGAGTGACTCCTATGCTAAACACTCTTATTTAGGAGTGTGCCGTCTGATCCTGGTTCCTGTGTATAGTCAGATTGCACGGTTAGCTGCTGGAACGCACTGGATCGCATTAGAAAATCCTCCCCCCTTCTGAGGCGGGAGGGGGCATGGCGGTGCATTGCAGTCAATGGTGCCACGCTTCCCTGCCTGCAGTGCGGTCGCACGCACCAGAATATGTGGCACATCAATGCCTGCTTTCTAGTCCAGTGCGATTGCAAAAAATAGTTCTTGTTGCCCCTGACTCTGGCCAAGTCCGGAAAGACAAACGGATCAGAGATCTGTTTCACTAGACCTGATTGTGCTGGATCGGGGGACAAATGTCCGTTTACATCCGATTCCCTCCATCACAAGATGAGTAAAAATAACTGTAAAGAGCGGATGTCACAGTGGTGACATCCGCTCCTTACTTGTGTGATCAGGAGAGGATACGTGTACGGATCCCCTCCTGATCAGCCCGTGTGAAAGGGGCCTATGGCAGGGGTAGGGCAACCTTCTGCGCTTCAGCTGTGGTTGAAATACAAGTCCCAAAAGGCGTGGCAAGACTCTGATATTCACAGGAATGACTCCTACAGGTAGTTTCACCTAATAGGGAGTGTCAGACCTTTAGCCCACTGCCTGGATCCCTTGTGGGCACAGTTTCCAGGGACTGATGATCCACCACTTTTCAGGTGGGAGCTGACCAGCACAGGCATGGCAGTCCCCTCGCACTGACATCACTCCCTTTCTGGATTCTTAGAGGATCCCGCCGCTGACCAGCCAATAGTATTGTCCTTGTCACACAGACCTTGACACAATGAAGGACCCCAGCCTCATGTAAACACTGAAATGTGTTATGACCACAATCAGTTAAAAGGGGATGGGAGGGTCATTTGGGGTTTTATGCCAGGAGTTGGGCTTTAAATTTGCCTTTGAAAATGTCGTATTACATCTGTTCAGTAAATAAAAAAAAAAAGCCTGTTGATCCTGCCAGAAATCCAGTAAGATACATCTTTGGGCAGTAATAAGATGTGTATTTTGCTGGTTGACGCTATAATGTGCACACAGCCTGCTGCTGTCAGAATACCCGATCAGAGACAGCAGCTATATGGCTGCTGGCTCTGTACATTCAAAGATTTTCTGACCAGCTGATCGAAGAATGCCTGCAGGAAGGGTGCCGAGAGTGGCACCCCCTGCACATTTCAGCCAGTTCATCAAGAACCAGCTGAAATGTTCCTAATGTATGGCCACCTTTAGAACCAATGTCCAGTTTTTATTGCTTCTCCTGGTTCTACCAGGGAGATGTCCCTTCTCTGTCCTGTTGACCATTTTCACCAAGGCAGAAAGTGATGAGTAATCGCATATTTTAGAGTTGTCCCCAGAGCAAGAGGTGAGGAAAAGTCTTCCAATGGGGACACCTGTTCAAGGGACAACTGTCTGAGTGAAATTCCTGTGGCATCTCTGCAACAAGAGTGGGAGCAATTGCTGTAGGATAATTATTCATTATTCTTGTGTAAATCTAAAGGTGGCCATACACTTTGCAACCCTTGTAAGACTTTTTTCTTGCGATGGTTGTAAAGTAATTTAAAAAACGTACGTTCTGCCCATCTTGGACAGGCAGATCATACTTGCGATCATCGCAAGCCCGCCCCCCTTGAGGGGCATGCTTCCGATGACTGCAATGCTGAAGGGGCAGTGTGCGCGTGTGCACACCGGCCCGTTCGGCAGTGATCTCTCGATCATGTTAAAAACCAGCCGAAAATCGTATAATTCTCTGCTGGTTTTCCAACATGCTCGATATGAAAAAGAAGTGCGACCGTACATTAGAAAAGGTTGCACGCCTTCCATACACTGCACGATTCTCGTACGATCGTGGGATTTCGCGCGATTCTCGTACGAGAATCGTGCAGTGTATGGGCACCTTAAGTATAATCACAGGTAGGGATGCACCGATACCGGTATTTTGGTACCGAGTACCGATTATATATGTAATGACTCGCCACCTGGCTTCCTGATAAGCTGGGAAGCCAGGCAGTGTGTAAAGACTTGCCACCTGGCTTCTGGATTAACAAGAAAGCCGACCAATGCTTCTCGTCACTATGTGACTAGAAAGCATGGAGCCGGCTTGCTAGCCAATCATGGAAGCCGTGCACTGTGTCATGACGTGGCGCCCTGCTTCCTGATTGACCGTGAGACTGGCTCCATGAAGCCGGCTTCCCGGCCAATCAGAATGCCGGGCGCTGCGTCATTACACGGCGCCCGGCTTCCTGATTGGCCAGCTTCCTGACCAATCAGGAAGCCGGGCAGCGTGTTGTGACGTGCTGCCCGGCTTTCTGATACAGGAAGCCTCGGGTTATGCATCGGAGTATGTTGGCGAGTACAGATTGCTACTAGTATCGGTAACGGTGCATCCATAATCACACGATACATAAGCTACATTTACACTGCACTGCAACACATGGTATTGCAGTATTGTGTGTTGCACTGTTACATAGTTACATAGTATTTGAGGTTGAATAAAGACATTAGTCCATCAAGTCCAACCTATTAGGATCTCATTCTAGGAGTACCCGTACCCCTGTATATTACGGTCCCTTAAGAAATCGTCCAAAAGTTTCTTGAACAATTCCACATTATTTGCTGAAATCACCGCCTGTGGCAGAGTTCCGGACCCTAACTGATCTTACTGTGAAGAACCCCCTTCGCCCCTTGTGCTGGAATTTTTTTTCCACCAATTTTAGGTGATGGCCTCTAGTTTTTGTAACGGA